AAAAAAAAAAACATTTGAGCTTTAATGGCTTCAGGATGAAAAAATGTGGAACACGGTTTGCACACCGCTTGTGGAAATGAAGCTTGATGCTGTTTGTGCTCTTGTGAAAAGAATGGATATCGCTCAAAACCGTTTGGACGCTATTGTTCGTAAGTTCGAGCAACTGAATCTCGGAGGACTAGTCTTAGCGTCCTGCTCTCTCCAGGACTTGAAAGAAGCGCTAGGGGTTTGTTGCTCTTAATCATTTTACATTCAAGCTTACTTCTTTAATAATTACTGGTATCATCTCACCATTCATGGCTTCATTCAGATACCGCTAGGTGACTGGACTATGGTGCGTATATTGGTTGAAACATTGAAAGCATTTGGCCCTAATGTACCAGGAGTGAAGGTCGACAAGGTGTGCCTTAAAACGTAGACAATTTAGTTGTGCAATGTCCTAGATTTCCAAACTACTTGTTTATTATGAATTGACTTGATCTTATCAAATACTATTTTGATCTAGAGGAAGGCTTTGATTTTACCTGAAGAGGATGAGGAAGAAGATGGGTTGGAAGCAGATATCGATTTGACATCGAGGAGAGGCACGATAGTGCACTCTCCTGGTGGACCAATAACGGCTGAGGAGCGCAGAAGGTACTCCTTACCGTTGAAGAGTTTCTGGGATTCTGCGAATGATTTCAGATCCATGGCTATGAATGAGGAGATGAACAGCGATCATAAATGGTTAATGGAAAGCCTTTCAGGAATGGATCTAAGTATGTTTCACTGAATCATTCTCAATTTCAAAACCTTCAATCCAATTCACTTTGTATAAAATTTGGTAAGAGATTATGGACTGATCTATTTTTCTAGAGGAAAGCTTTGTGAGCCTCGAAAAATGTGCTCATAAGGCATTTGGACCTGCGCTTTCGCAACAGCGTAAACTACTTGTATAATTTGGAATGGATGATGCTATACATTTGTTGACGATTTTCATTTTTTTACAGCGCGAACCGAAGGTGACTTGGATTTAGCACCGTCGTCTGCGAACTCAGTGCGATTTGATGACGTTGCTGAGGATGGATTGGCTTCGGATGCCGATAGCACTGAGTCAAGATTTGGAAGCCGAGAGAATCTTCTTGATCCAGGACCGATTTTGAGTCGCAATTCTAGCAGCAATGGAAGGTAAGACCCTCTAGCTTTGAATGGTTAGAGTTGCCGTAATTGGCAAAAGATGCCACAGAAGCACATGAGCAAATGATCTTCAAGCCTTTTCTCCTATAAAAAATTTACAGCTATAGAAATCGCTCTACATATATGAG